CTCGCCCCGCACCTGGAGAGCCGCCGCCGCCGCCGCCGCCGCCGGCCGGGCTGCCACCAGCCTTGCCACAAGCGACCACAGGCCTGCACCGGCTGTCCGGGGGGTGGCGACCCGCAGGGCGCAGCCAGGTGCCGGAGCAGCTCTCCCTGGCCGGCTGGCTGTGGGGCGCACGCCCTTGCCCGGCAGAGAGGGAGGGGTGTGCGCCCCGCAGGTCCCGGCCCCTGGCACCGCCGCTCTCTCCTCGGAGGAAGGAAAGGAAGCGCCGCAGAACAGGACGCCCCGCTCGGGGCTGCGGCCCGGGAAGGGTGGCCATCCGGAGCGCTGCGCGCACCTTTCCCCACGGGAAGACACACACGGAGGCCCGGGCCCACGGCAGCCGGACGCGTGCGGAAGCAGGGCCGCGCTTCCGGAACACGGCCTGCTCCTTGCCCAGGATTACTTGAATTTGCAAGCTAACCGGCTCCAGCTGGGATGGGATGGGATGGGATGGGATGGGAAGCTCGCAGTAGTACATAGGCAGCCCTTAAGTGCTGGTGTGAAGGCCAGCAACGCCACACACAGACCTACGCACACCCCCCCCCCCCGTGCGCGCACATGGCTATAAAAAGAACACACAACCGTCTCAGCCTCTGTTAATTCAGGCCCTGAAGACACCGGTTCGGAGACATGGTTCTTCCCTCTCCACCAGCCAATATTCTGGCTTTTTAAGAGCTCTTTGCACGGGGGGGGGGGGCTGCCTCTGTGTGTGTGTGTGTGTGTGTGTGTGCACTAGCATGTGTGTGTGTGCATGCATGCATGATGGTCAAAAACCAAAACAAAACCAAACCCCTGGCTGATAAAAGGAAATGAGGAGACGCGAACAATTGAAAACTACCTAAAAGCTCGAGAGAGGTTTATTTTATTAGTTCTTAATAAATATCTTGCAGATTTCCTGCAGGAAATACACCAGATCACGTGTAGAATAGTTTGATACTGATGTCAACGGCATCAGCATATGAAATCTATTAGGGGTGAAGCCACAGCAGGGCGATCAGTGTGCAGAAAAGATGCACGGCACCAGGGCGGGAGGGGGGGATCTCACGGCCCTTCCAAATTCTTCGAGAGGTAAAAAAGTCAGCCAAGACACAGAGCGAGCGAGCGAGAACGGCAGAAAAAAATTCCCACATCCTGCTTTGGGCTGCCAGCAATCTGAAGTGCCCAGAGATTAATTCTATGTCTGGCCTGAAAATGTGACTTTAAAGCATTCGGGGGGAGGGGGCCGGGGAGGTTGGGGGGAGGCCACGCTAACTGGCGCTGGCACCGGGCCACGGGCTCTCCCACCCCCAGCACCCCCAGCCATGTTTCAATGCAGACAGCCGTAAACCCCGGCAGACAGCAGCCTTCCCGCACTGCCAGCGGCTCTCCCGGCAACGGCAGCTGCGGCGCGTCTTGCTCGGCGCAGGCAGAGGCAGATGGGCCCGAGCGCGCCGCTTCCGCCCTGCACACGTCGAGGAGGGAGGGAGGGAGGCAGGGAGGGAGGCAGGGAGGCCCCCTGCCCGGATGCTGCCGCCCCTCCCTCCTGCTCTGTGCGGCCGAGCCACCGGCCGAGCCCTCGCCGGGCAGCCCCTTCCCCCCGCCCGCTGCCCGGGGCGGATCGGCCCCCGTCCCGCAGCGAAGGGTCTGGAGAGACGGAGGCGAGGACAGCTCCCGGCCGGGGCCCGGAGGCCGCCGGGCTCCCGCCGCAGCCGCTCTGGGCCGCTCGGGAGGCGGCCTGGGCTCAGACGCGCCGAGGGGTCCCCGAGCTCAGCTGGGTCTCTGCCCTGCCAGCGAGCGGGCGGGCGGGCGCTCCTCTGCCGCGGGGGACCCCAGAGAGGCCCCCGGGGCAGAGCTGGCTCGGGCGCTGGTGGCCCCGGCGGAGCCTGCAGCAGGCGTGCAGAGCACTGCTCACGTCCACGGCTCCACCGGGCGCTTCGGAAGGTGGGAAATCCGGGCCATGCCGCCCAGAGGCCCACCTCTCGCCCCACAGGATGCCCCCCAGAAAGCAAGGGGCAGGAGAGCCCCCTGGGCCAGGCTCCTGCCCGGGCACGAGGGCCTGGTGCCCTGGACCGCAAGGGAGGACTGGGGGCCGGCCGGCCAGCGCAGACGCAGCTTGGGGCTGGTCCCGTGGGGCGCCTGGGTGCGGGGCTGGGCTGGGCTGGGCAACTAGGCCGGCCGGGCGGATCAGGGCCCCAACCGCTAGAGCGGAGCAATGGCAGAACGGCCACCGGGACAGCCGGCATGAGGGGGGCTCGGGGCAGCCAGCCAGCAAGGCAGATCGAAAAGCCAGCAGCCCTGCTACCCGAGGAGACGTGGCCCCTTCACTGACGCAGTGCCCTCCAGCGAGGCTGGACTAACATTCCCACAATGCACCGGAGCAGGCCGACTGACACAGCAGGGCAGGGGCGGGGGGACGCTGCTGGGACCCCTGCACAGAGCCCTGTGGTGCCCGGAAGTCAGACAGATCGACGATGCTGTGCAAAGCACATTCAGACCCCGACAGACCCTGCGGCGCCCGGAGTCCCCCAGCCTGCGGCTGGACCTCTTTTGGACGGGCCAAGAGAAGCAGGAGAGGTGGCCCTTCCCTCCACGTCCACACGCCCCCGCTGCGCCACGAAGGGCGGCTTGCCCCCAAAGGGCAGCGGATGGGCCGTGCCAGCCCAAGGCGGGCCTCTCCGCCTTCTCGAAACACGCACGCGCTTCTCGGTGACAAGAGAGGGATTTCACGGCACCTGACGGCACAAGCGAGGTGGACATGTCCGGGAAGGGGGGGCGCGCGGCCACACGCCTGCCTGCTCGGGGGAAGCGTCGACATTCACAGGACCCAGGCTACGGAATACCAGGAAAGAGGGTCTCGGGCAGAAGGGAACGTGGCGGGCATCTCGGCCAGGGCTGGCACCCCACGGAAGGCCTTGCCCCCCGGTGTGAGCTGCAAGGGAGGGCCGTTTCGGGGGGCCATGTGCAGCCCTGCCAAAGGCCACTGAGCCAAAGGCGAGCCAGCCCCACGCCGGGAAGCCTGGTCCGCTCCTGCCGGCCGTGGCCCGTCCCCGGCTCTGTGGAGTGGTGCTGCGGGCCGCCTCCCCCCGCGCCGAGCTTCTGCTCTGCTCCGCCCAGGCTGAGGTTCGGGCAGCCCTCAGCAGGGGCTAATTTTAAAATGCCGCTAACCCGAGCCGGCAGCGGAGCCACGGGGCTATTTTTACCGGCGGCTGAGAAAGCGCGGCTCCCCCAGCAGCCCTCCGGCTTGGGGACGCTCGGCCCAGTGAGGCGCCGGTAAAAAAGGCGCCAGGCCCGCGGGGAAGGAACCAACGGTCCCACCTCCCCGGGCTTTCTGCAGAGCCCCACTGGCTCTCCCGCAAGGGGGCTGCAGCCAGGGGCCTGCCCCCAGGGCAGGAGCATCACGACACCCTGGGCAGACCCGGCCACCGGTCAAGGCGGGCCGGGGGCTCCCAGCGGCGGGCCGGGGCCGCTGCTCTGGCATCCTGCTCCCGGCTGGCTCCATCCGGGCCCTTCTTGGGTTCTTCTCTGCCTTTGTGGGGAGAAGGGCAGAGAGTGTGTTTTAAAGCAAGGACACCTGAGGGCCACCCCACAGGGCATGCCTGACGGCGTCGCCACTCCCGGACATGGGGCCGCCCAGAGGACGGGCCGAGACCCTCTGGGGAAGGGGACGGGAAGGGATCCTGGCAGTGCCCTGTGAACACCCTCCCACGATTTAAAGGAGCCCTAATCCAATAATGCAGTAAAACAGAGCAGTGTGGCTGAGATGGGTCTGATTCCAGAAATTATAAAACAAATTATTAGAGAGAGAGAGAGAGAGAGAGAGAGGGACAGACCCAGCGAGCCCAGATTTGAATAAATTGGGCACAGATGGAGGGAGGAGTGGGCTTCTCCTCCCCCCACCAAGATGCCCTGCCACAAGGCACGGCTTCAATTAGCTCACTTGCAGACTGGGACGCGACCCCCCCATCCCGCTTCCCCAAAATTACAAAATTAAAAATAAGAAAATAGCATTCTCGGCGTGTCTGTGGTCAGGATGAAGGGACCCACTGCCTTGCTGCCAGGCGGGTGCGCAGATGGCTACCAAACAGCCCGATGAGGCCACCTGGGGCCGGGTTGCGCATTCGGGGCCTCCTGCGAGGGGAGAGGGGAGACGGCAGTGCCCCCCTTCACGGTTCCTTCCGGAGAGAAGATGGGAAGCAGGCAAGGACCGCGGCTCCGGGTGGGGGGCCTGGCTGCAGCGGCTGCGCAGCTCGCGAAGGCATGCCAGGCAGCCCCTCGGCTCCCACCGGCACTTCCTGGAGGGCGGAATGGGCCGGGCCGGGCCGGGCCTTGGGCGGGAGGCCGGGCTGCCGGGCACCGGCACACGACACGGGCATCAAAGACGAGCTGCGCGGGGGAGACGCTCGCAGTGGCCCGGCAGCTGGACGGACGGACGGACGGAAGACGGCCTCCAAGCTGGTTGCGGAGAGCGAGCTGCCCAGCCTGGCGGGCGCTCATGGGGCAGCCCCGTGGCTCACCGGTCTGGGGGGTGGCGAGGGAGAGCGGGGGCCGGCGAGCTCGATCGCCGGGTCCGGCTGCTGGCGACGGCCGCCAAGACCGCTCGGACCTGGACGAGCCCTGAGAAAGCCTCCCACGAGACCGACAGGAGTCCGGGCGTGCTGCGCCCCACGCCGGCTCAGAAATCTGGGGCACGAGCCCCTGCGGTTCGAGCTCTGCAGAGCTGCTGCCCGCCCAGACGTGTTCGGTCCCGACCCCCAGGATGAGCTGGCCCGGGCATCCCGGGAGTCGCAGCCCAACGCATCTGGGGGACACCAGGTTGGAGGCGGAGGAGAGCACCTGGGAGGGACTGCAAACGCACCTGGGGGCGCCCCACCTCTTTCTTCTGCAACCCCCCGGTCCCCAGGGCTGGGCCAGGAGGCTGGTCCCCTGGGTGGCCTCCTGACCCCCGGCCCCAGCCCTCCCCCGCCCCGCAGGCCCGACCCCGGTACCTTTGGGCTGCGAGTTGTGAACGGCGAACATGTTGATGGCAGTGAGCTGCAGCAGGCGGGTGCTCCCAATGGGTGAGGGGCTGTGTTCCAGCAGGGCCTGGAACTCGCTCAGGACCTCGGCGGCCACGGCCGGGAACGTCTCCATCCTGCCGCGGGGAAAGGGAGCGCTGCTGACACCTGGGCCACGCGCCTCGCTGGCGGACGGGCGGCCTGGGGCAGGAAAGGGCGGCGGGCTGCTCCCCCGGCTCAGCCCCAGGACCCGGCCAGCGCCCTGCGCGCTCCGCAGCACCCATGGCGGATAAAAACCAACGATTTTTTTAAAATTAAAAAACGGGACTTTTGACATTTAAATTGGACGTTCAAAGGTAACATGCTTTCTGAGGAACACTCAACTTAAAGAGAGTTTTCTGTTTAAGATACGTTATAGTCCAAAGGCTGTTCATCACAAAACAAGGATTCCTTTTTAATTCCGTAGCAAGAAGCTGTATATTAATATGATGCTTGAATTGTTTGGTTCAGCTTTCGGTAAGGCTACCCGAGGCCCCAGAGGGCTGCTGCCCGCCCACCCGCCAGCACAGCCGTTCCCGAGCTGGGCGAACCTAGCCGTCCGGCTGCGTGCAGGCCGCCTCCAGCACCCCTGCCGGAGCTGACCTGTCCGCCCAGGCCGAGGAGGCCGCAGCTGCACTGGTGTTTCGGAGCAGGGGTGGGGAAGCCCATGCAGCTCAAGAACCCGGCCGCGTTTCGGCGGTGCTCCTGGGGGCCGCATCCCGGGGCCGGGCAGGGCTGGCGGCAGAGGCTACGCAGGTGTGGCAAGACGCATCCCCGGGCTGCCGCGGGCGGCTCTTCCTGCCAGCTGCTCGGCCAGGAAAAAGAGCACAAAACCAGGAAACCAACACTTGGAGGAAGCTGGTGTGTCCACCCAGGGCCCCCTTCTCGGTTGCCAGAAGGGGGCAACCGAGCAGCAGGTGAGGGGCAGCCCCCTCGGGCCCGAGGCCCAGAGGAGCGCTGCCGGCTGCACGAGGAGCATGTGTGGGGCGGCCCAAAGGAAACGCCGGGGCCCCAGTGCTCCGGAAGGGGGCAGAGAGGGCAGGTTTGCTCGTGGCACCGTCCCAGGCATCTGCGTGCTGGGAGGGCCAAGTGCCGGCAGGGCGCTGGCCGGCAGGGGCGGCCGCAGTGACGGCCCCCTCCACTGCTGCGCCTCCTGCCGGGACACCTGGCTGGGAGTGAAGGGCCGGGGGCTTCCCTGAGACCCGGCGGGCCGTGCTGCTGTGGCCCGCCTTCGGCCAGGGGCTGACCTCGCCTGGGAAGTGGCCAGGCCCACCCCGGCCCGTCGGCTTCACACCCTGTGCCCTCCGCTCCAAACACAAGCCCAGTTGCTAACAATATTGAATTCCAAAAGGCCTCGTAATGTAGGAAAAATAAAACAAACATCCTGCTGGCTTACCCAATCCTGGTAAACAGCTTCCCATGGGCATGGAGAAAACTCAGGACGAGTCTTTTGTTCAGCTGCATGGGAAACAAAAAAAAAGGGAAAAAAAGGATTAAAAAAAAAAAAGATGAAGAAGATGAGAAAACAATCCAGCCCCCCCCTCCCCTTTCCTGTGAACGAGTTCGGAGTCCCGAGTGACAGGATAACCTGGCCAGGGCTGTGGGGGTGGGTACGGCAGATGGGAACCAAATGGCGGTGCCCCGGCCTCCCTTCTCCCACTTGCGCTTCCCCAGCGCTGCGAGGGCAAGCGCCGGACAGCTGCGAGGGGAGAGGCGCGCCAGGCCCATGGCCCCCCCTGCTGGCGGCCGGGCCCTCTGCAGCAGCCCCAGCCGGCCCGGGGAGAAGCGCAGGGACCCCCGCCCGGCCCGGCCTGGCCCGGCCCGGCCCGCAGCCGCCACTCCCAGGCTCTTGAGCCGCTCTGTCCGGCACGTATCCTGGGGGCCAGGCGGGAGATGCGGGAGCAGCGCTGTGGGGCACGCTCCAGCCCCACGTTCCCTGGAGCACTCCGGAGAAACGCTCTCGCCCGAGGCCACGGAGAGACACGGCCGGGGAGCGAGGCCTGCCTCGGCCTGGGGGGCCTTTGGAGGCTCCTCGGCACACGGCCCTCATCCCCGGGCTCTCGGAGGTCTTGGCCTGCCACGGGCCATGCCGCTAGGGGGATGATGGGAGGTACTGCATCCCAACCAAAAGGGCAACTGGGGGACCCTTGCGGTTTCCCCTGCTCTGGGGACGGCAGCTTGAAACGCAGTGCGACCAAGACAGCGAGAGAGATGGGGCGGAGGCAAGGATCCCCGAATCTGGCCCTATCTCGGCCCCTTACGTGGCTGCTCAGGTGGGCAGTCGAGGCCAGGTGTGGGGCGGGGGGGGCACTCCTGGCGTGAGCCCTGCCCCCCCGGGAGGGCACCACTGCTCTGTTCGCCCCCACCCCAGGCTCCCTGCCCAGCACGGGGAGCGACCTGGACAAAGGCCACGGGTCCAAACCCCCAGTGCCAGAGGCTCCCTGGCCGGCTGCACCCCAGGGCTGTGAGCCTCTCCTGCTCCTGAGTGACACCGCAGGGCTGTGCGGAGGACTGCACTCCGGGGACGGGAGGGGACGGGACGGGACGGGGCCTCATGCCGGCCTCCTTGAGAAAGGCAGGGAGGGGAGGGGAGGGGAGGGGAGGGTTCAGCACGGGGCCAGCGGCTGCTCTCCAAATGAGTCGCCCCCTTGCGTGAGTCACCTGCCAGCCAGGCCCCTGGGAACCTCTCGCTTCCCACAGTGCGAGGCAGCCGGAGGCCCCGGGGAGGAAGCCGCGTCACCCGCCGGCACTTCCCCAAAGCCACGGCGTCCCCCGCAGGCCCCGCGAGAGAGGGGTGCCTGGCAGCCCCTGCGCGAGGGCTTTTCCTGCCCCCCACCTGACACGCCTGCCCTCGGCACGACCTCGCGGGGAAGGGCCCTGCGGCACCCAGCGCTCGCCCGCCCCCCTTGCTGCCATCCCGGGCGTGCTGGGCGCTCGCCCTCGGAGCGCCCAGCGCAACTTGCAGGGCTGGCTCCCCTCCCAGGGCAGAGCCAGAGCCAGAGACGGGCACGGGGCGCTCGCCCAGCAGACAGGGCCCGGCCACGGCGGGAGCTGGCCCGGCCACGAGGCCACGGCAGGCGGAGGTGTCTGCACCCCTGGGCAACGGGGAGGTGGGGGATGCCGGCTTCAGGCCGACAGGCACAGGGGCCCAAAGGGGAACCGTTGCCGGGCGTCCTTCTCCAATGCCAGGGAGGGGGGAGGAGGAGGAGGAGGAAGAAGGCATGGCACCAGCCGCCGGGAGGGCTGAGTCAGCCCCAGATCTGCCTCCCCAGCTGCAGGGCAGGAGCGGCAAAGCCCAGGCCGGGGCCAAGCCCAGCCCTCCAGTGTTTCCCATGGAGAACGGCCCTCGCCACCCAGGGCCCGGGTGGTGCGCCACCTCCTCTGAAGACCCACGCCGGCAGCGGAACGGCTCGGCAAAGCTGTGCCAGTACGCTGGCATTCTGCCCCCCCCCCCGGCCTCCCGCCCTGCCCACAACCGGAGCGTGGCCACTGAGCACTTTTCCGAAGCAGACCCGGCCCGCTGCCTGCCCCCCGCAGCGAGGGGCAGAGGGTGCCTGGCCCTGCCGTGGCGCACGATGGCCGGGAGCCGTGTCCACCGGGCCCGGGACCTGGCGAGGGAGGACAAGAGGCCCTTGGCCAAGCACGGGCCTGGCCGGCACGCCGCGCTCAGCACCTGAGCATCGGCACCCCAGATGTGAGCAAGGCACCAAATAAGGGAAGAATTCCAAGACAGCTGCTCGAAGGAGAGGCTGTTTCACGTTAAAAATGGTTACTTCAGGTTTGGAAGCAAATTTCGGTATCTGTTCTTTATCAAGTGAGGCAAACTTTCCCCTCGGCAGCCGCAACGCATCTGCGGAGCAGAAAGTGCCAACGGAATCCGAAAGGGGCCAAGGGAAGGCAAGCGTCTTCTCCGCCGGGAGACCGGATGCGGGAGGGAGGTGCTGGCGATGTTACCAGGAGGGGCGCTGAGCTGCCGCCCCCTTTTCAAACAAAAGCTGTGCGCGAGATGTGGGGAGTGATGTGCCCAGAAAGGAATCCCATCACAAGGGGAAGCGTCGGCGCTGCCGGCCTGTCCGCCGCCCCAGGGTCTCCGTCCCGCGCCCGGCAGCCGCACCCTCCGCTGAGCTGAGCCGCTGCTTTATTCACGCGGACGAGATGCCCAGCGGGGCAGCTGCACTTGCGAAGGGGCCAACCCCCCCCCCTCCCCGCAGGGCACCGGGAACCTGAGGATTCACGGGCTGGCAGTCTTATTCTGCAGAGATGCTCACGAGATCATTTCTAACAGTCCAAAAATGACTGTGCAGGGCCAAGGCCCCACAACTCGAGAAAATCATTTCCAACAGTCCAAGAATGACTATGCCGGCACCGAGGCCCCAGAACTTCTACTTAATTTTGTTAAAACAAGTGTTGCAATTTTTCACCACTGTACAGGAATCGTAGAAGCCAGCTGAGAAGGTGCCGCCAACGCATCAAGCAGCAGAGTTGAAAAAATATAAATTTAGCATTTCGTCCTTCTAAAGCTGCAGGTGGGGATGCGGCCCTGGAAATAAGCAGCGTGTTTTGCACACAGAAGGAAGGGAGGGCTCTGAAGACCGTTTCATGCTACACAAATACGGGGGTTTGCCCACATGGATGGGTGGGTCTGTCAAGTCAGGTGAAATCCTACGCAGGCTCAGAGAGCAGAAATGCCCTGGCAGCCAGCAGGCCCCCTTCTCCTGCCTAAATTGGGGCAGGCTTGCGGCCTGGCCGGAGTAACACTCCGGGCGATGGGAACTGCATTTTGTTTGATCGCCCTTGCACTCTTTCACACTCACATCCTCAAGACGCGGGCCGCCTCTTTCAGAACGGAAGCGATGGCACCCAGTCCTCGCGGCCCGGGAGAAGTGCCTCGCGCAGGGGAAAGACCCCGCGGCCCGGGAGGGGACAGGGAAGGTGGCGGAGGGGTTGGGGGTGCGAGCAGAAGGCCGCCTGCGGAGACGTGCTCACGGCCCCTCCTTCTCCCCACCACACACACGCTCTGCAGGTGCGCCTGCGTGCCGCTGCAGGGTGGCATGCCCTCGGTGTGCAAGCACAGCACAAGGACCCAGCGGGCGGAGATGGGATTCTTGCACAACGTGTGCCAGGGCGCCTCGAGCAGACCGCCGCGCCCCCGGCTCCGGCCTCTGCAGCAGTCACCCGGGGGAGCCGGCAAGGGGCTTTCCAGGCCCGGGCTGGGGGGGGCCGAGGTGCCCGGCCCTGCCTGGAAGAGCGCCCGCTTCCCTCCCGCCAGTCATGCTGCTCCCCCCCACGGCCGCCACAGCCTCTTTCTGTTCCCTCTCGCACCCCGGCCAGGCGCCGCCCTTGCGTGCCTGGGAACCCTCGGTGCGCGCCTCACCCGGGCCCCGTGGGTGGCAGCGAAAGGTCAAGTGGGGCCGGAAGGAAGCCAGGAAGGAAGGAAGGGGGACGGCTGCTGCAGGATCTCTGCCAAAAGATGGGAGCCCTCGGGGCCCTGCCCGAGGGAGGGCCGAGCGGCTGGCTCTGGCCCGGCCCGGCGCGGCCCGGGAGGGCGCAGCTTCCCCAAGAGAACGGGGGGGGGGGAGGCGCAGCCCGCGGTTTGGAGGAGGAGCCCCCCAACAGCCGGCGCCGGCTGCTGCGTGCCGAGTGTCACGTCCCCGAGCCAGTGGGGCCGGGCATGTGGTTTCCGCATCTAACCAACCCAACTGCAGCCTGGCACCGCGGCTTCCTCCCCAGAGAACTTCTCCCTCCATGAGAGGAAAAAGCGCAAACCTCACCCGGCTTGAAATGACGGGGCTCAAGTCAAAATAAAGCACGCGGGTGGTTTTGGTGACCGGGTCAGAGAGGCGCTGGGAGGCCGGGGCTGGGCTGGGGCAACAGGCAGGTGGGGCCATGGCACGCACAGGGCCGGGCCTGGGGGCAGGGAGCATGGGGGGCCACGGCGGCGGCCCCGGGCGCCGACCCGGCGGGCGGGGAGGCAGGGGCTGCGGGACAGCAGCCCTCGGGCAGGGGGGCCGAGGAGGCTGCGCCCCCGCTGCCGGCAGGGAGGTGGCGTGGCCACGCTCCTCGCCCGCCAGCCCCAGCCACGTCCCCCAGCTCTGGAGGCGGAAGAGCCTGGCGACGACGCACGCCGGCCTGGGCTCTCCCCAGGCCGGGTCCGTGCGGGAGTTTGCCCCTCAAGCGTGCAGGGGAGCGGCCCCGCCCCAAAGAGAGCCCTGCACTGCCCCTCTGGGGCCGCCCCCAGGCACCCCTGCCTACGGGGAGCCTCAGCCCCCGGCTGCCCAGGGGGCGCCTCGCTAGAGCACTGTGTGCTGGCGCCCCCCACCCCCTGGACCCCGGCCAGCAAGGTGGGAGGGGGCCCTTTCCACAGACCCGCTCAGGTCAGGGGGCTGCTCCCCCCCCCGGCCGCACTTGCACAGGCCCAGTGCTGCTGCAAAATCGCCCCCTCCCTCTCTGGCAGCAGCACGGCTTCGGAGAGGGAGCCCGGGGGGGCGACCCCAGGCCTGAGCCCTCTCCGCCAGCTGCCAGGGGGCTTCCTGTGCGCTGGGGGCCAGCAGGGAAGCCCCCCCCCAGACCCTGCGCGGCACTTGCGGCTCCGCTTCCGTCCACCGGCCCGGCTTAACCAAGGGCAGCAGCGCCACCCAGTGGCAGGAGGGGGCACTGCAGCCCCCCTTCCCCTGCCTGCCCCCCATCTCAGCCGTGGCGGCGGCAGCAGCGGCTTCTCCAGCTGGGGGGGACACGTCTCAACCGGGCCCTGTGCCACCCTCCCGCCCCGCCAGCGCCGCGAGACTCACGTCGCTGGGGCTGAGGCTCCGCAGCCCGCCGTCCTGCTCCGAGTCCCGGCCCGACTCGTGCCCCTGGCCGGCGCGCGGGTGGGAGGGGTGGATCCAGCGCTCCAGGCGGGTGGCGTCGTCCCCGGAGGGCCGGAAGGCGGGCGGCTTGCTCTGGGCCCGGCGGCTGGGGCTCTTCTTCTGCTCCGCCTGTACGGAGAGGGATGCTCAGGGCAGGTGCCCGTGGGGCCGGGGCGGGGCGGGGGGCCCCCGAGGGCCAGCTGGCCCGCTCACCTTGCGCTTGGTCTCCTCGAAGAGGCTCATCAGGCTCTCCTTGGCGGTCAGGATGGGGTTGCTGGCGGCCAGGCTGCGCATGTAGTAGTAAACGGCGTCCAGCTTCCTCCTCTGCGGGCGGCACAGGGCGGGGGGGCGTCAAGGGGGGCGCCGAGGCTCGAGGAAGCCCCGCCACCGGCCCCGGAGGGAGGGCGAGGGGACTCCGGGCCCTGCGAGGCGCCATCCTCAGGAGCCCCAGGATGCGGGGCGACCGGCGGGCCTGGCTGGGAGTGAGCCACCTGTGCTTGGGGGAGAGGAGCGCCCTTGCTCAACCAGGCGCCCTCCAGATGCAGAGGCCGGCCGACACATCTGGGCAGCCCCCGCCGGGGGCAGGTGGACAGCTGTCCTGACTGGGTTTGCCCCCGCCTCCCCACCAGGAAAGCAGCCTCAGAGGGCTACCCATCATCGAAACTTTAAGGACCGACAGGTCCGACTTGCTGAAGAACGGGAACGATGCAGGAGAAGCGAGCAAAAGGCACCAAAAGAACGGAACTAAAAAGCCCAGCGGGGCAGCCGACGCGGCAAAGCCCTGCTTGGACAGAAACATCTTCCGCTGCCAGCAAAGGACAGGAGAGGAGGAGCCCGCTGGCTTCCCTCGGAAGAGAGTCCCCCAAGGTGGGGCAGCCACCCTCTTTTGCCCCCAGTCAAACACGGCCCTCCTGCTGGGGCGGAGAGAAGGGCTTCAGCGAGAGAGCCTAAAACCCAGCGCAGTACTTATGGAGGAAAGTGCCGAGCCAGCCCTTGTTCCCGGAGCCCTCGGGCTCGGCCGATCCGTGCCGGGGGCCCAAGCGCCTTACCGTGTAGACAGCCAGGAGGGCCAGCTGGTTGTACGGGCGGCCGTTCTTCGGGGCGATGTGCTGGGCCTTCAGGTACCAGCTGCAGAGGGAAGAGGGTCCCCCCTGAGCGACGACAGGGCCGGCCTGCACGGGCCACCCTCCCGTGCCTGACTTGCAGCCTGAGAGAGCCTGGCAGCCCCCCAGGAACGCCCACCCACCGCCGCTCGCCCTCCTGTACCCTCTCGCCTCGCTCCCCCGTCTCTGCCAAGCCTTCGCTGTAGCTGAGCCCCCTTCCCACCCAGCTGCCCTCCAAGCTGCCGGACGGCGACTCTCAGCCCCTTCTTCTCCCGACAGCTCCTGCTGCCTATGGACCGGGGGTGGCCAAGGGCTGGGGGCCGGGGGTGGGGTGGAGATCTGGCTCCTTTGCCTCCTGAGACATCAAAGCACTCGGCACGGGACGCTCTCTTGCCCCAGACCCGGCTGCTTCTCCAGCGTGCGAGGGACTGCCTGCCAGGAGCACAACCCAGCGGCTCCTGGTCATCTCCCTCCCAAGACTGAGCCTGGGACCTTTGCAGGCCAGAGTCGGGTCCCTCGCAGGCGGCGAGGGTGTGATGTGCGGAAAGAAATTCGCATGCTCCCCAAGGCCTTGAAGGCAGCAGAACGGACCGCCGCCGCCAGCGCCCCTGGAATTTTGGGCGACGGAGGATAGATCCTTCGCACAGCTTTCTGGTTTTAGACACCCCTGTTCCACCGCCTCCGGCTCCGCTCTGCTCCGTGGAGCCCCACAAGCCTGGCACGCTGCCCGGGGCAGGGGCCGCTCTGTGCCGGCGGAGAAGCTACCCGGCCTGAGCCGCCTCCTCACCTGCGCGCCTTCCCGTAATTCGCCATGTCGCTGCCTTGCTCCCGGTACCGGCAGATGTCCCCTTGGCAGATCAGGCTCCGCTGGGCGCTGATCAGTGCGTACTTCACCTGGAAAGGGGGAAGAAGGAGTCGGCAAAGGGGTCAGGACGGGGACCCCGCTGGCACCCGTTCGGCAGCTGGGCTGGGAGGGGAGAAAAGCGGGAGGGCAGGCTTCAGGGGGAAACGCTGACGTTGCCTGGGGCAGAGGGGGGCTCCGAGGGGCACTGGGAAAGAGAAGCACTTTTCCTTGGAAAGGGGGCGTATCCATCGCTCGCAGGGGCAGGCCCATCTCCGGGCCATGGGCATGGCTGCCCAGTCGCCCCAAAGGACTCGCGGCTGAGGGGGCTCCTTGCTAAGCTAGCCAAACGGACGCCCCTCGGCCTGCGGGCAGGGGGCCAGGGAGCGAGTCGCCCGAGCAGGAGCCCGGATGCAGCTCAAGCGCCCAAAGCTTCTGCTGATGTGCAAAGAGGGTCTCTGAACCCCAACGTCAAGATGTGAAGAGCAAAAGGCACCCCTGGGCTCAGACGCACGGCCAGCGGGTCCAGCCACAGAGCTCGACTCTACGCAGGGACAGGGCCCCCTCCCCCATCCCAGCATCCCCCAGAGGAGGCCGAGCAAGGAGCCCCCCGTGCTCCCCGGGCGGCCACAGGCCCGCGCCGTCTCACCATCTTCTGCAGGGGCTTGCTGCGAACAGCCATGCCGTCCATGTAGTCCTCCAGCTTGAACTGGTACGTCACCTGCAGCTTCTGCAGCAGGTTGTCGAAGAAGACGGTGCCCTGCGGAGGGGAGGAGCGGCAGGGGGTGAGGGAAACCAGGACCCCGCTGCAGCCCCACCAGCCCGTGAGAGAAGGCACCCCCGAGCCTGTAGGTTTTCCCCTTCCCTTAGTAAGCGACTCGGGGTGGGCATGGCACGGCCTGCCAGTTTCGGGGATTCTGCGAGGCCCGTGGTGCCTCGGCCTGCTCCGAGGAAGCCCTTCGGGAACCCTGCGAGAGTGCAGGCCCGGGCCAGGGAGCTGGCCTGCTCCAGAGCCGTCTCGGGGGAAAACCAAAATGCTTCTCCATTTTGTGGGCAGGCATGTGGGGGAGCCATGCATTCATTCATTCATTGGGGATATTCATGGGCCGTGCACCACTTGTGTCTCTGGACGGCTTACAATATAATCTAAATCCTAAACCAAACAAATTAGTTCAGTGGCTCCTGCACCTGACGGGGTCCGCGCTGCCCCCGGCCCTCTCCGTGATGCCAAAAAAGGTCACCCGAACGTTGCCAGGGACACAGCCCTCCTCGTGGCCAGGCGGAGAGGCCCCTCAGCTCAAGAGGCTCTCGGGCCTCCCGGAGGCCAGAGGAACCCTCCTGCCCCCACAGCCCCCCACTCCCGCCGGGCCGGGCCGGGCCGCTCACCTCGTCCAGGAGCTGCAGGAGCGTGCTGCGGATCTCCGGGCCATTCTCCGCCAGGGGGTCCTTGAGCAGCTGCCGGAACTTCTCGATCACCTGGTAGAAGACGTTCTTCCAGAGCAGCTGGTCCACGTTCTGGGCGTCCGCGAACTCGATGTCGCTCAGGAGGCAGCGCTCGTACAGCTGCAGCATCTCGGCCCTGCGGCGGCATACGCGGGCGGCCACTGAGCGTCCCCGGCCCTCGCCCTGCCCCCGCCGCCCAAGCACGGAGGGGAGCCCTTCCGCGGGGGGCGCCCTCCCTCCCCCAGCCCGGGGAGCCGCCTCGGGCGAGCCGAGCGACCGCAACCCAGGCCCTCTCGAGGAGCCCGGCTGGAGCCCTCCCGCCGCCACGGGAGCCCCCTGGCCCTTTGAAAGGAGCCGGGCTCAGAATCCGGGGGCTCAGCGGCGCCGGCTGCTGATGAAGTCTGGGCAGAGGATGACGCTCTCCCCTTCCGAGGCCGTCCTGGCACCGCGGCAACCCCCGTTCAGCCTCACGCTGCGCTCGCTGCTGGCTTTCCTCTCGCCAGGGGCGCCCACTGCCCGCTCGTGCTACGGGCCGGGGCCGGGAGCGTCTCGCCTGCACTCTCGCCGCTCGGCGTGATTTCAAACGTGCCTGGGGCCCCCCCTCGCCGCCGCCTCGTTCTCAACTCAGTCACCACTGCGGGCTGCCCGACCGTGACACAGCACACCCCCCCCTCCACGCCGCGGGCCCTCCCCAGCCCGCACTCCCGCCAGCTCCCACCTGAGCTGCCCCATCTTCTCCAGGCCCTCGGGGCTGAGCCGCTCGCGGGACAGGAGGTTGCTCAGCTGCTGCTCCAGGTTGCAGGCTTCGCGGAGGACCGTGCCGAGCTCCTGCTGCTGCAGGCTGCGCACCTGCGGCTCCACTTCGGCGGGCAGGGGGCTGGCCAGGAGCGGGCTGCAGAGCACGGGCTCCGCCGGGCTGGGGTAGCCGGCAGGATAGTACGCCGCAGGGTACACCCCGTTGCTGGTGCCCACCTGATACGGAAGGGGATACCCCGTGTAGGAGTACTGGGGGGCCTGGCCCACCGGCCGGCCGTAAAAGTAGGGGTTGTCCGAGTTCTGGAAGCGGTAATACGAGGCCTGCGCCTGGCGCGCTTCGCCCCGGGGCACGGGGCTCAGCTCGTCGTCGGTGTCGAGGAAGTGCAGCTGGCCGGTCTGGTTCTTCAGCGCCGGCTTCTGCTCCGGATTGTTGGGATCCCAGAGCCGGCGGGTGGTGCCTCCCCGGCCCCTGCCCCGGGCGCCTTTGCCGCTGGCCCCCCCCAAAAGGAGCCGGGGCCCCCCCGAGTGGAGGGCCTCCGGCGAGCCAGCTGTGCCGGTGGTCAGGTCCATGTGGGCCGGGAGCACCAGGATGCCGCGGCCTCTCCCGTGGGGCTTCCCCTCCGCTGGCGCCCCCGAGCCGTCGCTCAGGCCGGCCCCGGAGGGCTTGCGCTTCTGTGGGTCGGCCTCCGCCGCGGCGGGTCCCCGGGGGGCGGCCCGGCTCCCTGGCTGCCCCCCCTTGGGCTCCCTCCCCTCACTGGTCCCGGGAAGCCAGCCGTGCTCCCGGTGCCGCCTCGCCTCGAAGTCTTTGCCGAGGCTGCAGGCCTCCGCCTCTTCCGCTCGGTCCTCGCCCAGGGAGTCTGTGGAGGAGGCAGAGAGCTGCGTCCGCGGGCGACGGCGCTCCTTGGCCGGCTCGGGCCGCCTCTTCCCTGCCTCCGCCTCCCCATGGGCCCCATCCGCGCTGTTGCTGCTCCCGGCCGAGCTGGTGCTGCAGGTGCGGCATCGGTTCCGGCGCTTGTCGGAGCGCGAGTAGCGCTTGGGGGCGCTGGCCTTGCCGTGGGCTGCCTCCCCGCTGCCTTTCTTGGCTCGGCCCGGCCTCTCGGTCCGCCTGCCCTTCTCCCCCCAGGCAGGCTGGGGCCCTGCTTTGCTCCGGCTGCGCTCCCTCCCTTCCGGGGTGTCGGCCTTCCTGACGACCTCACCGCCCCTGCCGGCCTCCTGCTCGGGCTCTTTGCCTCCCTCTCCCTTGCCGGCAGGGTCCTCAGCGGTGGGCTCCTTGGAGGCGGCCTGCAGGCGTTTCCCTGGCTGGTAGATCTGCTGGTCGGGTTTCTTGGCTCGCCGGATCAGCCGCGGACACCAGTCCTCGGCGGTGCTTCCCTGGGCTTGGGCACCCCCTGCCTCGGCACCGCCTTCCGAGATTCCATTCAGGTACTGGCTGCTGCCTCCTTGCAGGCCTGGGGAGACCTGCGGAGCCTCCTTTCCAGGAGCCACAGGGGTCCCCTCGTCTCCAGCTGACCCGGCCTTGGCTGCCTCTGGCCAAGAGGCGGCCTCCTGCTTGGCTGAGGCCAGCTTATTCCGCAGGCGGGAGAGGCCAGGCTTGTAGATTTCGAGGTCCGGGCGCCTGTTGTCCTTACGATGCCGGGACTCCTTCATGGCTTCTACGAGGAAGACAGGGCAGAGGTATGTTCAAGTTTACACGGAAGGAGCAGAAAGAAGGGGCAGGCAGCCTCAGTCCTGGCAAGGATCAACCAAGGGCTAAAGCCGGGGGGGTGGGGGGGAGCTTGGAACACACCACCTGGTGCTGGGAGGGGGTGCTTTACGAATGCCAGGAAAGAAGAGATGCCACCCAAGTAAAGGGTGCTTTGCCTGTTTTCTCTGGAACTTGCACACCTCGCCCTGGGCGGCTCCAGATGGGCCTTCCCCCCAGAGGCAGCCTCTCCAGGGAGGGCTGAAATCCCGGCCCAGGTGCTCCAAGCCTCTGATGCAGCACCGGTCTGCCTCCCACTAAGCCAGCCCGCTTTTCGGAGCCAGAGCCTCGCCACCGGGCTTCCTTTACGCCTGGGGAAGGGTCACGGCGGCAGAGGCCTCGCTTTGCGCGCGGGAGGGCGGGACACCCCTACCCGAAGCCCTGCGGAGCACCGCTGCCCATCGCGCTGCAGCGCCCGGCTCGGCGGACCCAGCCTGGTCTAGCGTGCGTGCGTGCACAGCAGCTCCACAGCCAGCTCAGATTTGCCACCCAGGCCGGGGCGACCGGGCACCGGGAGGCCCAGAGCCTCTTCCCCAGACCCCCTGGCTTCTAACCCCAGCGGCCCTCCAGCCAGAGCCAGAGCCGACCTGCCACATGGGAGAACACCGCAACAGCCGCGGGCGAGGGCTCCCACTGGTTAGCTCCGTGTGCCATCGCTGGCTTTCGGGCTGCAATGAGGAGAGCCCGCTATCTGGGGGTTCCAGCGGCTCAAGCATTAGAACCCTGGGGGAAGGAATGCCTACGGCAACAGAGCCTTGGCGGGGCAGGATTCTGGAAGCCAGCCCCATCCCCCCCCCCCCCCCCGCCAAGGCAACCACCGGAATCAGGCTGGCTTGGCGATCCTGGCGGTGAGTTAACTTGAGCCTGGAGCTCAGTCCCAGTGGACACGAGCAGAGCCCTGAGGGATCAGGCCAGAGGCCCAATCCAGCCCAGCACCTGCAACGCGCACACACAAGTCTCAAGGGAGCCACCTGGAGGCAGAGCGCTGGTCGCCCTGGAGAGTCAATTGGCTAGGAACTGCTGCCAGGCCTTAATTTTAAAACGAACGAAGAAATCATGAAAGCACAAGTGCTCTGCCAAATCCCAGCAAGCGAGCACAACTAACAACCGGCCCGTTCTACCTGCACAGAACACAGTTGCCGCGCTTCACACGTTTAACAGCGATCCTATGCCAATTATTTCTTTTCTTGTTGGCTGCTGGGGAAGGGCAGATGAATGCAAACAAGAAAGAGGGCAAGGGACTTTCATGTGTCCCCGAGCCCAAGCAGGAATTGGACAACCACATGTTGGGGATTGCATTAGCACAGCCAGCTGGAGCCAGGGGTCAGACTAGATGGCCCGGGAGACCCTTTCTGACTCGCTCTGTTTCTATGTTTCTACGGAGTGAGTCCCCTCCAGCCTTTGGGAAGGCCTGCATCCTTGAATGGCAAGCATTACGTGGGGCGATGGGTGTGCTCTATCCTCCAGGCAGGACTTTCCCATGCAGCCCCCAATATTGCCATCGAGGCGACAGGCTGTGTCCCCCAGAAGTCAGAGTGCTGAAAACGAGTCCTCTCTATTACGGGTCTTCCATCTCTTGCAAGCCAGCACAACAGGAGAGTCCAGCTTAAACCTAGATCTGACCACATTTACAAAAAGCAGCTGTTCTGCTACAGATCCATGGCCAAGCACATCTGATAGGAAAAATAAAGTAAGATTCCAGTTCTTAAGATTCATAGGAAAGGTTTGGTGCAAATATAAACATGGGAAGGTGTCTTATACTAAGTCAAGCCTTCTGTTTTTCTAGTCCAGCACTCTGTTGTGACCACCAGCAATGACTCTCTGCAGCTTCAGGGATAGAGAAGACTTTCCCACAGACACCAGGGATAGAACGGGACCATTTATTTACTATTATTAATTCTGTGAAGCATTTTCTGCTGCTTATAAATAACACAGCTTATGAATAATATGGTTAAACAAAACAGTTCTTGCTTGCAAGATTAAAAGCTCAGATAGTGCAAATATTACAGGTTAAGAAAAATAGCATGAAGTCCAAGAGGTCACCAGCATGGCTTACAAACACAGTGAAGGAAGTTATTAGAGTAAAGGCAACTTCCTTCAGGAAACGCAAGTCTTGTCCAAATGAACTAAACAAAAGGGAGCACAAGGTTGTATAAGGAAAACGCAAGCATGCAGCAAGTGAATATTTATGCAATTCTGTCCGCTGCCCCTGAAAACGGTCATTATATCGCTGGAAAATGCAGAGAGATGGACAAAAATAATGGAGGGGTTGGAACACCTTCCCATGAGGAACAGTTACAATAACTGGGATTGGCTTAGAAAAAAATAAGGGGAGGCATGAAAGAGGCGTTTAAAATTATGCACGATGCAGACAAAATGGAAAGAGAGAGAGAGAGAGAGAAAGAGAGAGAGAAAGAGAGAGAGAGAGAGAGAGAGAGAGAGAGAGAGATCTCCATCCCATAATACAAGATCCTGGTGTCATGCCACGAAGCTGATTGGTGGGAGATTTCAAACAGATAAAAGTACTTCTTTGCACAGCTAATCTACAGAATTCACTACTACAGAATTTTTTTTTAAAATGTTCTTTAGTTCCACTACAATGAGACACAACTCACAAAGGACACGGGACAGCGAGAGAACAAAACAGAGCAGGTCCTCTTACAGCATCGCTATTGCCCTTTCCTTTTAGTTGTCAAGTAAGGTCTCAGCCCTCATAGCTATGCACAGAGGCAGGCTAAATAGGAACACAGGCCGTTCATTCACGCAGAAGCTGACAGTCCGGTTCCCTTAGCCCAGTCCCGTCAACACTGACCGGGAGCAGCAGTTCTGCAAAGCTTCAGGCAGCAGCTTTCCCAGCGGCACTTGAATTTGCCGCTGGGCACCTAAACGGACACTTTCCGCCCGGACACGCAGGCGCGCTCCGCCACGACGGCTCCTCGCCGAGATGCAAGGGGAGATCCCGGCCCCTTCACGCTCCTGAGTAAGGTCCCGATGGAAAAGACGGGGAGGAAGCTGCCGGCTGCCGAGCAGCCCCCGCTTGCTCCACCGAGCCCAGCTTCGGCGGCGGCGGCGGCGCCTTCCCCCGTGGTGCCAAGCAGACGTTTCTGCAGCCTGCCCGGCCCGCCAGGCACTTGCTGCGCGCGGAGCAGCCGCTGCTGCACAGCGCGCCCCCCGGAAGTGAAGCCGGGCGGCGGGCCCCCCGAAAGGGGCACGGCGCCCCTGCCGAGCCGAGCCGAGCCGGGCCGCGCCGTTAAGGGGCCCGCCTCGCCTCGCCACGCCCCCCCGGCCCGGGCCACGCGCGGCGGGGAGCCGCCAGGCGACAAGCCCCGCACGCCTCCGCACGCGCCGGCCGTGCGCGGCCTACCTGGCCCGCTCCTGCCCAGCGCCGCCGCCGCCGCGCCGCGCCTCAGCTCGGCGGCCGAGACGCGAACGCGATCCAGTTCCGCCGCCGCCATTTTGGCTCCCGGAGCCGGGGAAACGGCCGGAGCGACGGCGGCCGAGGGGGGCCAATCCGCGGCCGGGGGACGAGGGAGGCGCGGCGCGCCTGCGCAGGAGCAGCGGCGCGCAGGCGCAGAGAGAAAAGCGGGCCGAAGCGCCGACGGCTTTCGCCGCCTGTTGTTGTCGAATCGCTCGCCCCGCCCCTCTGGGCCACGTGCTCGCCCAGCTGGACCACAGCGATAAGAAAAGTTAGAGGAGCCGCAACGGCCTACCCGGGCGGCGGATGCGAGGCGCTGTGGCCCAACTCAGCCAGGTAGGACTCCCATCACCTTGGCTATTGGGACGCCACAGCAGTCGATGCGTTCATGAAACGTAGATCAGCACTTTAAAAAAATTACACTCTCCTCTCTCTAAAAATCTCTTCAAAGCCTGGTTTTAAATTTTGCATCGTGAACTTTTAATGATGTTTCCCTCTCTTTAATATATTGCATTTTTGTTATTTTTAATGTGGTTTGTGAATTGCCCAGAAAGCTTTGGCAGTTTGGTGGTACAGAACTTCAAAGGAACAATTTCTGAAAGCACATCCGAGTCGCTATGGAGGGACGCTGGAAGCATTTGACCCTGTAAGGGTTAGTTGGACTGCAACTCCCATGTTCCGTCTTCCATTGGTTGTGCTGGCTGGAGCCCATGGGGGATACAGTCCAACATCAAGAAAGCCCCTTGTCGAGACGGGGCTGATTGCTTTTCCCAGGGGACATCACATGCATTTCTCTGAAGCGGGGCCTTGCAAGTTCCATTTGGTGGGTGGGTGGGTGGGTGGGTGGGTGGGTGGGAGGGAGAGAGGGAGAGAGAGAGAGAGAGAGAGAGAGAGAGAGAGAGATCCTGCCTGTTTTGCAATCTCTGAAAAGGTCACCCTGCCACACACAGCTTTTCCTCCGTGGAGAGGGAGGGGCCCTGGCTGCAGAAACCATTCCGAAATTTTCCATGAGACGCTGGTGGCCAGCCGCTCTCTGGCACAGACCGCACCCAGGTGTACGCCGGCTTTTTTCTCTCTGGGAGGGCTGCACCACTTCGCCTGCTGTTCTGCATGAGCCTGGGACAGCCCGGCGACGGGGGCTCCCGCGGGGCCAAAGCCTTGCCTTGCCGGGCGAGAGCGCTTTCCTGCAGCCCGGCTTCTCCCCAGCCAGGGGCGAGAGAAATACACAGCGTCAGCTCTCCCTCCCAGGAGGCAGACCCCTCCTCTACCCCACCGTTCCTAGTGCAATGTTGACATGCCATCAAATCTCCAAAAAAGCCACAACGATAAAACCACAAGCATATTACAAATGACACATTTTCAAAGGCTGAATTGAACCTCCTCATCTCTCTAAAACCCTTAAAAAAAAAACCCTTTTCGAATGACCGAGAGAACAGGGCCAGCCAGAGAGAGGACGAGGATTCCAACGCATCGGATGTGCCGGACTACAACCCCCCCCATCTCCTGCCCCCTGCATGCCCCCACATCGCTCTCCGGGATGATGGGAGTCGCCACCCCACGCTTCCAGAGGGTACCAGGCTGCTGGACAGGGTGGGGGGGGGTGCCGTGTGCTGAGGGCAGCGCTGGGGGGGATGTGGGCCCATCTGGGGGAATCCACCACACCTTGGCACGGGTTTACGTCAAGACTTTTATTCGACAGAGATGCGTTTCTTTACAGTTATTTACAGGAGAAAGCTGGCCTCTGACGGTGACTGGAAGCACTAAAGCCGCCCTGAGAGGGGGACGACCTCCCCAGGTGGTGGGGGGGGGGAGCACGTGGCCTGAGGAAGAAGCAACCAAGGAAGCCACGCAGCTTCAGCCCGCACCAAGAAGCCCTCCCGTGGCTCTCGTGTCTGAAGGTGTGCCTGGCTGGCAGCCCCCCCCCCCCCCCCCCCCTCCCTGCTGAGCGCAGCCAGGAGCCCGGCTGAGAGAGTCCCAAGAGACGCTGCGCTTGCTTCTGGCTTCGAGCCCCCGAGGTGCGCGTGGGAGCAACTGAGCCCAGGGCGAGCGCCGAGACGAAACGGCGGGGCAGGAGCGAGGCGGCGGGGCAAGCCATCCCTGGCCGAGCCCGGCCGCCCCCCCTGCAGCCCATTTGGCCCCTCACAGGCCACAGTCCAGGGAGACGCTCAAGATGTCGGGGCCCGCACAAGTTTGCAGAACCTGTTTGGGAAAGGGAGCTGCGGCGGCAGGGAAACGGTCTGTCTCCGAGCTCGGCAAATATGCCCCAGCGTGATACCCGGAGGGGGGAACCGGGTGGGGAGCCGTTAGCCAGGAGTCGTCCCCTGCCGCCTCCCAGCAGAGGCAACACCTGCTCCTTAAAGCACTCAGCAGCAGCAGGGGCCCCTCCCTGCCCCAGAAGTGCTGCAGGCCATGCCGTGGGGCAGAGGTCTTGAGCTGCCCCCACGGCAAGGGTGAGGGCGGGATCCCAAGCACGGGGGGGGGGGGGCACGACACAGAGCTGCAACTATGCAGAAGGGCAGCCTCGAGGATGCTCCCAGAGTCTGGCTGCAGAGGAAACAGCCCCGCAAGCACCGGGGCCCTTCGGGTTGCCCGAGAAGAGGGCTGTGGAGGAACTGAGGCCACAGAGGCCTGTGGGAGGGGTGGGGGCCCAAGGGATGGGCCACGGAGGTGGGGCTGAGGCAGAGGCTCCCCCTGCTCGGCCCCTCTGCCCATCTGCCCCTTGGGGGGAGACACACCCGCTTCCCCCAGGCATCCTTGGCACTCGGGATGGGCTGGACTACACCTCCCACTGTCCGCACGGGGGCTGTGTCCACAGCGTATGCAGGCCGTGAGCTGGGGAAGGCCGAGACGCCCCGCCGCGTGGAGTCCCTGACCTCGGGCGCCCCAGAAGCCTTTGGATCACAAAAGGAAAACGTACGGGGCTGAACTGCGGGAGGGGGGCTGTTTATTCGACACACGGGCACATCCCACCTTCGCAAGTCAAAAGCGGGTCTGCTGGAGCCGGGCGGCAACGCCTGCAGGTTCTGGCGGTGGCATTCTTCGAGGCACGCAGACCTGGGAACGGAGGCGGGGGGGGGTTCACAGTGCCCGGCAGCCACAGATCGGGCTGCCGGGAGTCCCAGGCGAGTCCCCGTCTCTCAGCAGCTGTTGGGAGAGGTGGCTCAAGGGGGTCTGAAAACCAGAAGCCGCTCCGGCCCTCGCGGAAGGAAGGCACGGGCGCTGGAGCAGCACGGCGGCCGCGCAGGAGTCCGGGGCGGCTGCTTCCGGAGGGCCGCGCGCTCTACCAGTGGAGGCCGGAGGGGGGCGTCTTCTCGTCCTTATTGCTTTCCAGGGAGAACGGGGGGATTCGGACGTCGAAGTGGGAGCCGTCGGGCCGCTCGAAGCGGAAGGTGCCCCTGCAAAGGAGAGCGGCGGCTGGGGAGAAGCGCTGGCGAAGAGCGGCCTGAAGCCCGCCAGATGCACCAGGACGCGACGCCCATCATCCCCAGCCCAATTTGCGAAGGGTGCCAAGCATCCGGCGCAGAGGGCTTGATGGCAGGCAAAACAGCGGGATGCTCCCCACTTCTGGGGAAGCGCGAACTGCCCAGGGCCGGTCCGACAGGGGGCCCCTTCCATGCCGCGCCCCGCCAATCGGGTGGCCCGGGCTTTCCGCCCCCCGGGCCTGCCGGTTCCTCCTCCGCGAGCCGCCGAGCGCTCGATTCCTTACCACATGTGACCGCTGGAAGCCTGCAAGGAGACGTGGCTACTGTACTGGAAGGCGGGCTGTTCTTTGGAGAGGACTGGCTCCTGCGGGGACAGGCGAGGACCACGGTGTGAAGCAGGGCCTGGCCGGCCGGAGGGCGGCCCGGCCGGGAAGCTCCTGCTGGAGCGAGCGCCTCGGCAGCGCGGGGCCAGGGGGCTGGGGACCCGGCCGCACAAGGGGCACGGGCAGCGGCACCCCGAGGCCCCGGCGAGCGCCCGGGTGGGGCAGCCGGCTGCAGGCTCCCGGGGCAGAGGGCCAGGAAAAGCGACGGCGACACTTACACGCCCCACCACCCCCCGGCCGCGGACGGTCTCCAGGGTGCCGGAGAGGCTGAAGATCCGCCAGTGCCGCTCCCGGAGCTGCACGACTTCGTTGTTCAGGTTCTCCAGGCGGATGCAGTAGCGCCACTGGACGAAAAGCAGAGCGCGGCGCTCGCCGTCAGCCCAAGAGCGGCCGGGCCCTCCTGCCCAGCCACCCAGGGCCTCGCCCGCCGAGGGCCCGGGCTTCCGGGGCCGCTCAGGGCCGCCAGCCCACACGCAGACCCACAGGGGACACACTCACCCAGTAGACGTGGGAATTCTGGGCTTCCTGCGAGGGAGAAGAGAGAAGGCCTTCGTTGCAGCCTGGAGCCTGCGGCTCGCGGCAGAATGACCCCACCGGACGGGCACCGCCGCCGGCCCCCTTCTCTAGCTCCTCACCCCCCGTCCGTGGGTACAAAGAAGGGTGAAGACCGGAACCACTCAGCATGGGGCAGAACTCGACCCGGCCGCTTTGTCTGGGACCAGTTTGGCCGTGAGGAGGAGGGAGGAGGAGCCTCTGCATCGTGGCTTGGATGTGGCCAGGGCGGGGGGGGGGGCTCCTTTCCGTCCTCCGCCCTCTCATGCCGAGGGAAGCCTTGAAAAATCCCACCGGCAGCGCAAGGGAAGGAGGGGCCCCGGGAGAGAAAGCGCACAAAGCGTGCGAGCAGGCCTGTCGGGCGGAAGGAGAGGTGCGAGGCGTTCCCCACCTGTGGCCTTCAGCCCTGCTCCCCCATTTTGGGGGGCCGCCCCGTGACGGGCGTGCCTTCGGAAGAAGCTCCTCGAGGGGAGCGTGGCCCCCAGGCCGGGGCTGCCACGGAGAAGGGCCACCAGCCCAGCAGGGGCTGCCCAGCGTGGCTCAGCTCGCTCCGGCCGGCTCCGCTTGCGGGCTTCCCCGCCGCGCCTGATCCTGGGGCAGCCAGGAGGGAATCGAGGGCCGCACACGGGCGTGGCTTGGGCCACAGAAACAGCGGCTGGGAAGTGCTAGCCCAGGCACCGTCCGCCCCGGCGGTCCAGGAGCTCAGCGACTCACCCTCATGCCCATGTAGAAGGGAATGACCGTGACCCGGATGTTCTCCGTGGTCTCCCGGTGCACGTCCGAGAGCTCCAGCCACGGGTGGTTCTTCTCCTGCCAGGCACACAGCGTGTCCCTCGCCACGAAGGGTGGGACTGAAACAAAAGCGGCTTCCTGAGGCCACACGCCCTTGGTGCCACAGCAGCCACTTTTCAGGCTGACGGTGCGTTTGGACTTTCCCACTGCTCCTAAGAGCAGGTGGGACGCTCTTCTGGGCCACAGCTGGGCCTTTCTGGCTGGCTGTGCCGCGTTAGGGCAGCCAAGGCCCCGCCTCAGCTCCCCACCTGCCCACCGCCCTGCGGGGTTGCCCTCCCTGGCATCTGGCTGGCCCTCACCACAAAGGCCTCTCTGCCCCCCTCAACCCTTTGAGGCTGGAAGGGTCCCTGCGGCTACAGCCTCAGTCCAGAAGGAAACCGGCCAGGGCCGCCCAGCAGATGCAGACGACGACTCCCCCCGTCCTCGAGCCGAATGTTTTGTCTGCGGGGCGACGTGGGGTGCGACGGGCCTCCGTGCGCCCGCTGGGAAAGACCTACCTTTGGCCTGATCGTACATGAGGAACCGTTCAAACAGCTCGTGCTGGATGGGCACCTGGTCGGTGGACGTGTACGGCAGGATGTCCTCGTGGCTGACGTAGTCCAGTCCTAGAAAGCTCAAGGAAAGACGCGCGGCCGCTCAGGAGCAGCCCTCGCCACCGTGTGCCCGCAGGGGGTCCAGGCGGCACCTGCCAGCAGGGCCGTGAAAGCTCTGGCCCCTCCCCGGCCGGCCCACGCGCTCACCTGGGATTGCATAGAGAGCTCGGCTGTCGTCGTGGTTTGCCAGGAAAGTCACCGCTTCCGTCTGCGACCGCTGGGACTGGGGGGAGAGACCGGAAGGGCAGCCTGGGAAGCTGCAGATCCCGCTGCTGCCGGGAGCGGCCCCCACCAGACACCAAGCGGGGCTTATTTCTGGGTCAGTGTGCGCCGAGCAACCAGTTAAGAGTCTGCTTGCCCGTGTGTGGCTTTGCTTTAGCAGCAGGGCTATTTCTAGCTGCTAAGAGCTGCTAAGGAGACAGGGGATATAAAGGGAAGAATTAAACTGGAAAATGGCTGGCCCCATTTGCTCTGGGCTTTGAAAACAGGGTCGCAAAGCAAACCCACCCGCAAGAAGCCGACCGTGGGCGGCGGAGTGGGGGTCACGCAAAAGAGAGGGCCGGGGGAGGGAGGGACCAGAGAGAGCCTTCCGCACCCTCGGTCTACCTGCAGCAGCCTTCCCCAGCAGGGGCCCTCCAAGGCCCCCGGCGGCCACGCCGTGAGTGGCCGACCAAAACATCCAGGGGGCCCCAGAGGGGGAGGGCCCCTCCTGACAGCTACTTCAGCCTAGGCCAGCGCCGCAAAGGCGGGGACAAGGACAGCGGAACCACTTACTATGTGCGGGCAGTCCCGGGCGTCTATCAGCACCTGGTAGTACGTGTGTGTCTTGCCTTTGACTTCTTTGGAGCCATGGCCTGCCGCGTTCTCGCCCCTGAAACGAGACAGATGCCAGCGTTCCGGAAGCTTGTGGCCAACATGCCCGCAGGGCTGGACTGCCGCTTGCAAGCCAGCCGTGTGTCATCGCAGGGCTGAAAGGCCTCACGGCACAGGCCGGCTCTGCTTTAACAGGGATAAAGTGCCTCCTGGGCCAGACGGACTGGGACTCGTAACGGCAAGAAACGTTTCCTGCTCGAGATACCAGAAAAAAGATCATTCCGGATTTGGAAGGGGGGGGGAGCCGGGTCTCAGCCTCTGGGTGAGAGATGCTCGCCTCTCAACCTGCTTTGGCCGTCGAATGCATCAGTTCAAAGGATGGCAGACGAGCGGCAAAGATCACTTCTCAGCTCCATGCAGGCTGAATATGCTCACGCAGAGCACAATTAAATACTTTTATGGGGGGACAGGAATCAATGCACAGGCCAAGTCCACTTCGTAAAGGGCAGGATCTGTGTTCTTGGGGGACACCACAGAAATTAGCCTGCTGTGACCTTTCTTTCAACAATCCAAAAGGGAGAGAATCGGTCACTGGCGGCATCTGCTGCAAAGGCTTGGAAAGCGTCGGCCAAGCCAAGGAAGCCCATGGCCCGTCAGCCTCCATGCATTAAAACATAGCCAAAAAATAACAATATTCAAAACTCATTAAGTTTAGGGTGGACCTGTAGGTATTTTCCTTTGAATGAAGAGGAGTATTGGTATATTCACCTGTCCATTACTTCTGAAGTTTTGATTTCAAAACTTGTTTGGAATTCGTTTTTAACTGCAGCTTTCAAGTATCTTTCTGAAAGTTCCACAGTTTGTCCTAAAGAAAGTAAACTTCTAAACGTGGCCCCAACTGCTCATCTCAGTTTCTGGTGAATCCTGAGCAAATGGAGAACCTTACTTTTCAGTTACGGAAGAAACAACATCTCGGTCATACAGCCGGGCTTGCCAAGGAAACAAGACGATACCACGGTATCCAAATATGCTGTGGAGAAATAGCTGAAAGACAGAGAAGTACCGGAGAATAGCAGAGTGAGAAGCCCAACAGGCAGAAGTGGGACATGCTTCAAATGTATCACCTCTAGGCCAGCAAACAACCTAACTGCACTAGGAGTGGGCAGAAGGTGACTCTCCAGGTGTCTGAGACTTCAACTCCCAAAAGCACTTGCCAGCAGGACCAGTGATCGGTAATGCTTGAAATTTAAGTAAAAATGGTCTGGTGATTTACTTTCCACTTGTTCCTGTTCGAACACATAGTTCAAAATGATAAAGAAAAAAGAGAGAACTCTAGCAACGGCCATGGGAAGTGTTCAGCTGGTGATAAAAAAAGCCAGCGATCCGGTTTTTGGCAGGTTGCACAATTCTAGTAACTAAAGTTCCTGGAGCCTAAACATTTTTGCCCACCTGACAATCCTCACATTAAGCACATGTAGTACATCACTAACTTAAACAGCCAGTGCTATTTTCTTGTGGAACAGCTTCTTTGGCCTGGCTGCCTGGGAGCAACTTCTACATATCACAAGCATCTGAGCAAGGGGCCATTGCTTGATTGCAACTGGAGACCAGAGCAACTGCCTTCCCTTGGTAGTGCCAACGGGGAAGGATCTGTGGCCACAACAGAGGAGCACCCCAGAAACACTGCTAGAAACAGCCCAGTCACACCCAGAATCTGCAGCGATTTCCAAGGTATAACTAGTCACACCTCGACCAATTGAATGTCTAGGTTTTCGGGCCTCAGATTCCTCCCCAGCCCTTTCCCCAAAAAAAAAAAACTGCTTTTACCTGGCCAGTCTCGTATTTGCCCTGCTGTTTTGGCACTTCAAACACACCGACTGTCTCCAGCACTTTCCCTTCAGGATGATTTCTAGAAAAGAAAAATATCATACTCACTCAGCATACTATTACGAATCAGTGTAAGGAAAGGCAGCAGGTCAGGATGATCTGGCCCTTGTAACAGCGTACAAGAAGCAGAGAACAGAGAAGGAAGCTTTGCTTTTGCCAGTATGCTTACAACCTCTCGAAACGAACAAAATGTTTGCTTTATTACCAAACGTTGCTACTCATGGCAAAGCATGTTTATAAAGGCGATGTGAATTGAGTAATTAGAAGAATTACTCTGTGCTCAAATATTCTTTTCTCTTACGGTTTGAGACAGGTGTAATTTCCTGGCAGACCGTCCAATGGGCGCCGTGTCTCGAAACCTGCTCTCTTGCACACTGTCACACACGTGTGCCTCGGTACCACCGTTCTCACAAAGGCCTTGCTTCCCTGTAACTTCCAACACGCCTGTTTCCCTAGGCCCCGGCAGTACGTGCTGGCGCGGCCAGCGGCCCAACCCGGGGCCCCCCAGGTGGGTCAGATCCCGCCCGCCGTGGGCGGCGAGCGCGGCAACCCGGCCCGCCGCGGGAGCAAAGGCTGAGCTACAGTCCGAGGCCCGGGAGGTCACGCCGAGCGAGACCAGCCGGCCGGAGGCCCTTGTTGAAGTTCAACAGCGCCGCTCGCCGTGGTCGCCCCCCCCC